CAGCATCATCATCATCATCCGCAACAGCATCATCAGCATCATCGTCGACATCAACATCATCATCGTCGCCATCGTCATCGTCGTCATCATCATCATCATCCTCATCCTCATCCTCATCCTCATCATCATCATCATCATCATCATCGGCATCATCATCATCATCATCATCATCATCATCATCCCCACACCTCGCTTCATTTCACGTCCCCCATCCTCCTCATCCTCCTCCTCCGATTCCTCCTCCACCTCATCCTCCTCGTCCTCCTCCATTGCTCATCCTCCTGTTCCTCCGTTTCCTCCTCCAACATCATCGTCGGCATCAGCACCGTCATCATCAGCATCATCAGCATCATCATCATCAGCATCAGCAGCATCATCATCAGCAGCATCAGCATTGGCATCGTCATCATCATCAGCATCATCAGAATCAGCATTATCATCAACATCAACGTCGACATCAACAGCATCATCATCATAGCCAACATCATGAGCATCATCAGCAACAGCATCGTCATCATCAGCATCATCATCATCAGCATCAGCATCATCATCAGCAGCAGCAGCAGTAGCATCAGCAACGTAATCGTGATCATCAGCAGCATAAGCATCATCATCATCATCAACGTCGACATCAACATCATCATCATCAGCGTCATCCGCAACAGCATCATCATCATCCTCCTCCTCCTCATCATCATCATCATCATCATCATCAGCATCATCATCATCATCCCCACACCTCGCTTCATTTCACGTCCCCCAACCTCCTCATTCTCCTCCTCCGATTCCTCCTCCTCCTCATCCTCCTCATCCACCTCCATTGCTCCTCCTCCTCCTCCGTTTCCTCCTCCAACATCATCGTCGGCATCAGCACCGTCATCATCAGCATCATCAGCATCAGCATCAGCATCAGCATCAGCATCAGCATCAGCATCAGCATCAGCATCAGCATCAGCCGCATCATCATCAGCAGCATCAGCATTGGTATCGCCAGCATCATCAGCATCATCAGAATCAGCAGTATCATCAACATCAACGTCGACATCAACAGCATCATCATCATAGCCAACAGCATCGACATCATCAGCAACAGCCTCATCATCATCATCATCAGCAGCAGTAGCATCAGCAACGTAATCGTGATCATAAGCAGCATAAGCATCATCAGCATCAACGTCGACATCAATATCATCATCAGCATCATCCGCGACAGCATCATCAGCATCAGCATCCTCAACATCATCATCATCATCAACATCCTCATCAGCATCATCCTCATCCTGAAGATAATCCGTATCACCCGTATCATCATAATCACCATCATCAACAGCAGCAGCATCAGCATCGTCAACATCACGATCAGCATCGTCATCAGCATCAGCGTAATCAGCATCATCAGCCGCATCATCACAAGCGTCAGCATCATCATCAGCAGCATCATCATCAACATCATCATCAGCAGCATCAGCAACCGCATCATCATCATCATCATCATCATCATCATCATCATCATCAGCATCAGCATCACCAGCAGCATCATCAGCAGCATCATCAGCATCAGCATCAGCAGCATCATTAGCATCAGCAGCGTCGGCATCAGCACCATCCTCATCACCATCATATCACAATCGTCAGCAGCATCAGCAGCGTCATCATCCTAACCATTTGCAAAAACAGCATCATCAGAATCATCAACATCAGCATCAGCATCATCATCATCATGATCATCATCATCATCAGCATCATCATCATCATCATCATCATCATCATCATCATCATCATCGGCGTCATCATCATCAGCATCAGAATCATCATCATCAGCATTAGCATCATCAGCAGCATCCTCATCCTGATTATCATCCACAACATCATTAGCGTCCGCAATATCATCATCACCGTCATCATCCTAATCAGCATCAGCATCATCATCATCACCCGCATCCTCAGCATTATCATCAGCGGCACCATCATCATCAGCATCATCATAATCATCATCATTACCAGCATCGTCATCATCAGCATCATCAGCATCAGCGTCGTCATCATCAGCATTAGCAGCAACATCCTCATCATCCTCATCCTCATCATTTTTATCCTCATCCTCACAGTGATCCTCGTCCGCATCCTCATCCTCGTTCTCATCATCAGCGTCAGCATCATCATCATCATCATCAGCAGCATCCGCATCAGCATCCGCATCATCAGCATCAGCACCATCGTCATCAATATCAACATCATCAGCAACGTCATCATTATCATCATCATCATCATCATCAGCATCATCATCAACATCATCATCATCATCATCAGCATCATCCGCATCATCAGCAGCATCATCATCAGCATCATCATCATCCATATCATCATCATCGCAGCATCATCCGCATCATCACCATCATCAACGTCATCATCATCAGCAGCATCATCATCATCAACAACATCATCAGTAGCAGCAGCATCAGCATCATCCTACTCCGCCTCCTCCCCGTGCTGCCCGCGCCATCAGAAGCCCAGCGGCGACTTGCACAAGGTACTGGTCTCCGAGGTAGCGGGGAAACGTCCTGGCACAAGCGGCAGCGGAAGAAACACGGGACAGGAAAGCAGGGGCGAGGAGCGGGCATCCACGTGTTCCCCCTGAAAACATGATTCATCGTCTTCCTAATCCTACTTCTCCTCCTCCCCCTCCTCCCCGTCCTCCACTTGATCCTCCTCCTTCTCTTTCTCCTCCTCCTCCTCCTCCTCCTCCTCATCATCACCATCATCAGCATCATCATCAGCAGCAGCATCATCATCAGCAGAATCATCAGAATCATCCGCATCATCCTCATCATCATCAGCAGATCATATACATCATCATCATCATCATCATCATCATCATCATCATCATCATCATCATCATCATCATCATCATCATCAACAGTATCATCAACATCACCCTCATCCTCAGCATTATCATCAGCAGCATCATCAACTGCATCATCATCATCAGCATCAGCATCATCAGCATCATCGGCAACATCACAATCGTCATTCGCATCATCATCACCATCACCACCACCGCAATCATCTTCATTAGCATCATCAGCATCATCAGCCGTAACAGCTGCATCATCAGCATAAGCATAACCATTGTAGTCATCATCAGTAGTATCCTCCTCCTCCGCCTCCTCCTCATCCTCCACCTCCTCCTCTTCCTCCTCATTATGTTACAAATCCTTGTCCTCCTCCTCCTCCTGCGCCTCCTCCTCCTCCTCCTCCTCCTCCTCCTCCTCATCCTCCCCCTCATCCTCCTCCTCCGCCTCCTCCTCCCCCTCCTCCTCCCGCACCTCCTGATGGTCACCCTCCTCCTCCTCCTCCTCCTCCTCCAGATCGTCCCCCTCCTCCTCCACCCTGTCCTTACAAATAGGTCCTCCCCGTCGTTCCCCCCGACATGTTGGCAGGGCCGTCTGGGCGTTTCGCCCGAGACATCCTCACCACTAGAGATCCTGAAACGTGAAACGTTCAAAGGCAACATGGAAGGATAGCAGACAACGTCCAACAGCGTGAAACGTCCAAGGCTTTCAGCCGCTGCAAAAATGGGGGCGGACCTTTTTCAGAGTGGGGCGCTCGCCTCAACGCCGCATACGCTCGCACAAAAAGATTGCCGCGGCTGCAGGAATGGAGAGCGGCCATGATCGAAATGGCGCGTGCTCAACGGATCGTTGCGCACACTCGTCTACAGGATTCGCCGAATTTGGAAAGACGGAGGACGGCTCCTGTTTCAAGACACTGCTCTCGCCAGAGCGCGAAACGGTGCAACTGGTGCACAGACAGAGGACCCGTCCTTCTCGAAGTGGAGCTCTCGCCAGACGCGTGCTCAGATCACCTGGACTGCCACCCCTCGCGCCACAGTTGCACGGGTGGGGGCGGATCCTTTCCAAAGAAGGGCTCTCGCGGGAAAAAAAAAAAAAAAAAAAAAAACGATGAACTCCATGACCCTGCTGTCCCGCACCACTTAGAATCCGCTAGAACGATGCAAGGCAGTTCCTCTTCAGAACAGGGCCCTCTTGAATGCCACGCCCATAGTATTCTGCTCGTATGTCAAAGGGGCGGTTCTTGTAGTACTAAGGAAGATTGCTGGGACTTGTGTGGAGGTCTTGTGACAGGAGGGTAAAGTGCAGCATCGTTGCCACATCATGGGTCTACTCTGGTGTTCCTCCTCCTCCATCCTCCTCCGAAGAAGAGGAAACAGAATTCCATCGCCTAGTATAGTTCCTCCCCGCGGTTGGATACAAAGAATAGCTGTGTCTCGGGTCGTGGGTCAGGGACGGCCCGTATGCCTCTCGGAGTCTCGCGGAATGATCCTCAGGGGCCTCTTGAAGGCCTCTTCAGGGCCTCTGGGGGGCCTCGCGGGAGCCTTCCGGGGCCTCACGGGAGCGCCCTCCATGCCCAAGACAGTGCCCCAAGACTTCCTTGGCCCCCTCGTGGAGCCCTGTTGGAGCTCTCTGGGGCCGTTTTGGAGGCCTTTGGGGTTGTCTTGCGGCCCTCTTGGGCGGTCTTGGGGCACGCCGTGGGTCCTCTTGGGCCGGTTTGGGCCATCTGGGAGGCCCCTGGGGATACCTTGGGCTGTCAGAGGCCCGCGAGAGCGAACGCGCATCTGCAGGGCCTCCTCGCGCCCGCCCAGGGGCAGCGTCACCCGGGTCCACCTGCCCGCCTCGAGGGTCTGGTCCCTCCCCCGCCCGGGCACGATCAGGCCCTGGGATGATGGCATAGTCAGGGCAAGGCTCCGGAGCATGGCCTGCGCCCATTGAGGCAAGTGTCGGGCCCAGCGTGAACATTCTGTTTCAGGTGGAGACTGCGGCCAACAAATCAGGATAGCGCGCGTGTGGGAGGAAAGATGGGGCTCGGGGTCGGGTTGGGATTCTGGCTCGGATTGTGGCTCGCGCTGAGACTGAGACTTTGCGCCAAGGCTTAGGGTTCGGTTGTGGCGTTGTTTCATATCAGAAGTGGGAAGGGGGTAGAGGGGAGGAGCGGAGGAGGAAGGATCAAGGTAGAAAAGAGGAGGAGGACGACGATGAAAAGGACGAAGGATGCGATGAGCAGGACGACGATGACGAGCCGACAATGGCCAAGGCACTCCCGTCGCTAGAGGAATAAAAAACTGAAGAGCAAAAAAAACAATATCCTGGCGAAAGGCCTGACAATATGCAGTTGTGAGAACCGCGATGTGGCACCGCTTTCGGTGGACCGCCCTATGGGGCCTCGGAACGCATGAGGGGTTTGCCGAAACGGGCGGGGAACCGCATGCGAACCATGCCATTGGGGCCTTCGGTGGAGATCCCGATGGGGCCACAAAACGTGTGAGGGGTGTGCCGAAACGGGCGGGGAACCGCATGCGCACTTTGCCACTGGAGCGTTACGTAGTGCTCCCTATGGGTCCACGAAACGTTAAGAGGTGTGCCGAGATCGGCGGGATACCGAATGCGATCCCTGCCACTGAGCCGCACGGTGGAGCTCCCCATGTCGGCACGACACGTGTGAGGGGTGTGCCGACATGGGCGGGGAACCGCATGCGAACTCGGTGGAGCTCCCTATGGGGGCCACGAAGCTTGTGAGAGGTGTGTCGAACTGTGCGGGGAATCGCATGCGAACGTGGCCACTGGGGCCTTCGGTGGAGCTCCCTATGGGGAGCTCCAAAACGTGTGAGCGGAATGCCGAAACGGGAAATCGCATACGAGCGTCGCCACTGGGGCCTTCGGTGGAGCTCCCTGTTGGGCAACAAAGCGTGTGAGAGGTGTGCCGAAATGGGCGGGGAACCACATGCGAACGTCGCCACAGGGGCCTTACGTGGAGCTCCCTATGGGGCCACCCACGAACGTGTGTGTGCCAACATGGGCGGGGAACCGCATGCGATCCCTTCCACTGGGGCTTTCGGTGGAGCTCCCCATGGGGCCACGCAACGTGTGAGGTGTCTGCCGAAATGGGTGGAGGAACCGCGTGCGAGCGTCACCTCTGGGGCCCTCGGTGGAGCTCCCTATGGTGCCACGACACGCGTGAGGGGTGTGCCGAAATGGTTGACATGCGGAGGGCAGAGGCAGGGATGGGAGGAGGGAGGCGGGGGAGGAGGAGGAGGAGGAGGAGGAGGAGGAGGAGGAGGAGGAGGAGGAGGAGGAGGGAGTGAGAAGGGGGGAGTGAGGAGGGACGCGGGGCGCCGTCCCTTCCAGACGAGGACCCAACACCAGAGGATGGCTGGGAATAAACGTTCGGAGGTCCGCGCAGATTTCTTGGATCGGCGCTGGAACCCCTTCCCGTGGCGAGCGGAGCGCGCCAGGAGCGGCGCCCGAGCAGCCGCCGGGGGGGGGGGGCAGCGCAGGCCCAAGGCACCTTCGCGGAACTCTGGAGGTTGCGATCCTCGGGAGCGGCCAAGAGTGGGGTGTCCAAGAGGGGGGGGTGCAAATCATGACCGGCGGCATGTGCGCGGCCCAGCGGGGGGGCCAGGGACGTGATGAAATAAGAGGGGGCGCCATGAGATCTGGGGAAATATCATGGCCCCGCCATGATATCCACCCCCCCCTAGTCATCACCCCCCTCTTTGCCGCCCCCGATATACGTATGCAGCTGTTCGTCTTCGAGTCGCGACTGCTTCCTCCAACTGATGAGCTCCCAAGCCCCCCCCAGGTCCTGAGCATCGCGCCAATGATCACGCTGATGGCCGTCATGAGCCACAGCGCGGACACCGACGCGAGCATAGCCAGGAGCCGGCCTCGAGCGCAGGGTCAGAGGTGCTTGCCCCTGCTTGTCTTGGGGTCCCAACACAGTGCAGTGAGAAAGGCCGCGCGGTGACCTCGGAATCCCGAACGACCTCACCGCACATTGGAGCTGGCTGGGGTTTGAGGTGGCCCAGCAACGGTTCTGGAGAGAAGGAAGGGGGGGGGGGCGGGGGGTCCGAGGTCCTGGATTCGATAAGGTGTTTTGCCCTTTTCGGCCTCCAAGGGCCGTTGTCGAGACCCGGAACCGTCAAAAACGGATCCAGGGTGAAAAACTGCACCAGATAGACATGGGGAGGGGTCCTGGGGATGATTTTGAGCCGGTTCAACCACATTCAACCTCCTGACCGATGTTCTGGGGCCCCGGCCAATTCAGACCCCCTGGCCACCTCCAAACCGGAAGGCCCGTTGCTGGGAACTGCGCTTCGAAAGAAAGACGGCCCCTACTTGGGGTCGTGCTGGGTTTCATTCCTTACCCGATTCTGAGGGCGCAAACGAACGCGGGACCACGAGCATGCCCTGACGTGGAGGGCCGTCTCGAAGAGAGCTGGGGTGGCGAGGAGCAGCACAGGAAGGATAAGGCGGTGAGGACCCTCGGTGCAGGGCCCAGCTCCGCATGCACTCCCGCTCTTGCTGTTTGGGAGACAGCTCCCGAGAAGCCTTCGCAAAACCGATTGGGGGGCCATTGAACCGGATTCGCACAGATTGAACCCAGGATTAAGCCGGATCGAGCCAGGAGGCGGGTTTACTCGGGAGTATGCCAGATGAGGCAGTTTTCGAAAACGGACGGTTACACCAGCGCCGACGCTGAATTCAGCCTCCCAGGACTTGCATCCTACTGCTGTTGATTTCGAGCGCACGAGCGGGCATGGCTGAGAGAGGGCAGCCACATGCGAACACTTCCCCTGCAGGCCAGGCCTCTGCGACACCGGCTGGGGCTCAGACGTTGATGGACATCAGCGGCCAAGGGAGCCCAGGCGGGGAGATGTCCGACGCACCAGCGTCGATCGAGGCCCCAGGGGCAGGGCTCGCAAGCGATCGATCGCCAAAGAGAACACGCCCGCTGCTGTGGTTGATGTCATGATGCACGAGCGGACATGGGTGAGAGCACTCCGAACTTCTTGATAAGCGTCGGGGGGCCGACAGCCACACATCGACCCCCTTCGCGAGCAGCCACGAACAGAAACGTTGAGAGCTCCGCGCGGATGTCGTATATCTGCGCTGGGCCCCCCCCCTGGCGGCGCCTCTGGCGCCGCCCCCGGCACTCTCCGAACGCCAGGGAGGGAAGTCCAGTGCCGACCCAAGAAATCTGCGCAGACCTCTGAAAGTGCATCTTTACGCTGCTTGTTCTTACTTGAGGGATGAGAACCAGGGCTGGACCTAAACGTTATTGTTCGTGTTGGTTTCGTTTTGTTGTTCGTTTTGCTCTCCCTGTTTTCCTGTACATCCCTGCCAAAACGAAAAACATAACACAGCCGAAGTCCAGCGAATCAACGTTTAGGTCCAGCCCTGATGAGAACGGGACCAACCGGACAGATCCAACAAAACTTACGCCGCTGGCCCACAGGCTCCCGACAGCATCACAGCGGCTGTCGCGGATGAGGGGAGGGCACACGCTGCAGAAGGCGCCGCAGACGAATGTTGCTGCGAGTCAAGGCTTGAAAGCGCAGGCACTCGCAAGAAAGGAGATGCAGGTGCAGACAGCACTGCGCCTTGCCTTTGCGAATCGCGAGGATCATGGCGAGGAAGAAAGTCTTGTCGCCTGCAGGGGTCAGAGTAGCGAACCATCCACCGCCCGAGCGATCCCCGGGGAAACCCGAACGATGAGGTCAACAGGAACAGATGTCTCTCCTCTGGGCCAAGGACCCTGTGGAACAACGCTGGGTGTCAGCTGCCATGCCACATGATCCGATGTACAATACAGGCCCCCAGGCCATCGGATTATATGTAAAAACATATGGATCCAGCTCCTATACCGTAAGATCAGATTTGTGGATGCCATGACACAGGACACCCTAACAATCCTATCATTGAACTAAAACTGTATTCAAAATGTTTGCAAAAATGTTACAATGTTTGTTCTTACATGTTTTAGACATGATTTAAACATGGCTTGGACATCTGGAACTATTTGGCAACATGCTTCCTCTCCATTGATCGTCGTCCACAAAATCAGGTCAGATGTAAACACACATGGTTCCAGCCCCCGGGCCAGTGCGAGAACCCAAGTCCTCGCAACTGTCGCTTCCTGGACCGCCGGGACGCAAAAGACCCCGGAGAGCCTCCTGGGAGGCCAGGACAATCCGGCTTCAGACAAGACATTCGCTACGCTTGCGAAGCCCAGACTTCTTCAGATTCATTGACACACGGGTTCTTTTTCGCCCGTAGCTCCAAGGCAGCAGGATGTGATGTAATAAGAACACATTGCTGCAGCTCCCAGGCCATAGGATCCGATGTAAAAACGCTTGGTTCCAGCTCCCACGCCATAGAATCTCCTGTGCTTGGTGTCAGCTCACAGGTCATCAGATCCTGTATAAAACCACATGGCGTCAGCCGCCAGGCCAGACGATCTGATGTAAAAACACATAGCTTCAGATCCCAGGCCATATGATCGTATGCCCCGTACACATGTAGTCAGCTCACAACCCTTGTGATCCTGTGCCATATAAAGATGCAAAAAAAACATTGATTCAATTCCCAGGCCATCGTATCCTATCTAAAAACGCATGGCCTCAGCTCCCAAGCCATAGGACCCGATGTAAAAGAAACACGGCTTCAGCTCCAAAATCCTCGAAGCTGGGAGAGAGAGCTGGAGCCGGAGCTGGGCTGGAGCTATCTGGCCTGGAGCTGAAGCGAGGCGAGGACGTGACGCGGGAGATGGGATTGAAGCTGCTGCAGCTAAGGGGAAAAGCGCCGAATAGGTGGCTGCAAAAACTCGGCATGAGTCCTGGGAGTGCCGTTCTGGAAACGAGAGGACCACGAAACGCTGGACGGTTGGCTCCAGAATATGAAGATCAGCCCTGGGAGTGTAGTCCTGGCAGCACGGAGAGGAAGGAACCCTAGCCAGGTGGCTCCAGACACCCAGAACCAGTCCTGGGAATATATCCTGGTTGCACGAAGAGCCTGGCGGCTGTAAGGGTTGCACCAAGGTGATCAAAATCACACCTGGGAGGGGACGACTTCTGGCAACACGAAGGCGCGCCTGACTGCAAGGATTGCACCCACATGATCGAATCCGGCCCTGGGGATGAAGT